AATCATTTTTACAAAGCGAGGAAGTAATTTTGTTTGTTGAAATCAAACTTTTTTTTTCACGAAAAATAAATTATTTCTATCATACTATTTAAAAAAAAAAAAAAAAATTATTTTTCTATTTCATTGGTTTTATCGAAGTAGTTCTCGATTTGAAACCCCTCCTCTAGCCTGCCACCCCCCCTTTACTTTTCCTCTCATTGTTATCTGCGGTATCATGGCCGTCTTACTCTTAGCTGTGCCCCATTCGAGCTAGGACTGCACGGGAAACCATCTAAAACCCTAGTCGCACAGCCGGCCGATTGTGCAGTGCCCTAATGTACCCATCTGTCACACTGACTAGATGGAGACACTGGACCGCTACACCGTGCCTACCGCCCGTAATTTTGGTTACATACCAAAATTCCCCGGTCAAAATTCCCCGCGTCAAAATTCCCTGCGTCAGAATTCCCTGCGTCAGAATTCCCTGCGTCAAAATACCCAAGCGTCTAAATTCCCCAGGTCAATATTCCCCCCCTCAAAACACCCCCGTGTCAAAATTCCCCGCGAGAAAATCCCCCCGCAACAGAACTACCTCGAACGAAGGTTCTCAATGAACAAACGAAAATAAACACAAAATCAATTGAAAAAGGCATTGTATAGTAGACCGATTGGGCATTAAAATCACAATAAGCACTCCACAGGTGTGTCATATTATAAAAATAAATACGGAACAGGTATAGTGGGGACACGGAAATATCAATCCCACGATCGATCAGTTACCAATCACACGTCGCCGAGTTCATTACGCTTCAAAATGCCATTACATTTTGTACTCAATCAAAGAGGTAATCGTGATTTAGTGTTGAACGGCTACATCCTCCACAAGCAACGTTTAGGAGCATCACAAATCTCATGGCGATGTGAATTGTACAACACAACAAAATGTCCAGGAAGAGCGTATACAACGTAAAATTTGAATAAAGATTTTCACGAACCAAATATATAATTTCAAAAAAACCGCATAAATACGCCATACGGGGAATTTTATCGGCAGGAATTATTGGGTTAGGAGAATTGGCGCAAGGAATATTAACATGAAGGAATTATGTCGGGAAGAAAAATGACGGGGGAAATTTCGACCAGGGAAATATGGGGCGGGAAATTTTGACGGGGGAATTTTGGCGTATCACCGTAATTTTTGTGCGAGCGAGGTGTTCCTAAGGGGTCCCCCATCCAAGTACTAACCCAGCTCAACGCTGCTTAGCGTGGATGTCCGCCAGAGCAATACCTGACCCACCTAATCATTACAGTCACATTTCTATGATACAATTTTTTTACATTTACGCATCTAGTAAATTTAAATCACATAGATTGCGATAATCCGTTTATGTATTGACCTCAATTGCCAAATTCCCGCTTACTATTCAAGCACTGAAATCAATTCCTAAATTCCTGATAAAGTTGAGCTTATTCAAATTTCCCACGTAAACAAACCCCGAAAATATACGTGCCCACATGTAACTCATAAATTTAATTAATAATATTGATTACTGTGGAGGTACCGGCAGGGTTGCGTCGTTCACTGAAAATTGAAGTTTTCTACGGTACGTAGTAAAATACTGGTAATTTATCTCTAAGTGGTAAAAAAGGTAAATAACTGGTAGAAAATCCATTAAACTCGACTATCAGTGCAGTAACCCTCGTGACTGAATTACACGAGGGTTGTACCTTGCGAGGGTCACAGATCACGAGCGCCATACCTTGCAAGGATCAAAAGTCACGAGGGTCATACGTAGCAAGCGTCAAACGTCATGAGGATCATATCTCGTTTGACATTTGAGATTGTCCTCTGCCTACTTCTGTTGTTTAATCATTACAACGTTTGGCCCTCGCGAGGCATGACCATTGCGATGTTTGACCTTTGTGAAGTATGACCCTTGCAATCATGTCAACGGGATTGCGCTCGGGCCAGAACAATTGTGTTATTCTCAATCACGCACACACGCGGCCAAAAAAGGTCTAAAACCTCCTTGGTAAATTACTTGCTTTTTTACATGTAGAAAACTTGGTAAAATACCGGTAGTATTTTACTTGCCCAACCCTGGGTACCGGTATCCCGATAGTGTACGAGTACCCGATATTCTAACCCACTTTTCTTGATATTTCGCTTTTTTTGTATTTTTCAATTAAAAAACACCCTCCTTCAATAGTCCACAGGAAGAGAAACTTTTTTTCTGTGGATTAAACAGCGAGTTTTTGCTTCTATGTGTAAAATCACTTTCAAATAGTATACTTTGATACAAGTGAGACGGAATTTTCACGAGTGCGAAATTGACGGCCCGAGGCGAAGCCGAGGGCTGCCAATCACACGAGCTGAAAATTCCTGTCTCACATGTGTCGAACTAGTATATTTCATCATTAGGCCGAAAAAAACTTTTCTGGCGAATATGAGGTTTGCAGCACGAGCCGAAGGCGAGGGAACGCGGAGGGGGCGTGGAGCGTCCGTGAAACGCTGCCTTACGCCGGAATGACAAAAAATATTTATTGACAGTGATGTTACGTTCAGCGAGTGGCCGAATTATGCCTTTTTTATTTCCTTTTCGTTTACGAGTAAAAAACGAAAGGCGCTTTTCGGCACGAGGTGAACGTAGCAGCAGTGTCAAAATTAGTATATTTCGATACGAGTGCAGAAATAGTATATTTCGATACGATTGCGTGAAAGTGTTTTTTGAGTCGTGGGAGATTTATAGCATAAGCTGAAGGCGAGGAGCCTTCAAATTGTTCTGTAAATCAAATTGTTCTGCAAATTAATGTAAAAATACGCATATTTTAGAAAAATGTTAAAATACTTCATTTGCACAGCTGAGCTAATTTTTTTTTGAAAAATGTATCTTGAAATTTTCCTCTAAACCATCTCTTGCCCGAGATATTACCCATTCAATTAATCTAATTTTTTTGCCTCATGTCTTTTTACTCTTCGCTGAGAAATTGATAGAGCGATGAGTTGCTTGGAGCAGTAATGCCCACGAAAAAAAATCTAAAAGCAGCAAGAAAAACAGCGAAGGAACGCTCAGGCCAAGTTCAAGGCCATCGACATTGGCCCGCGCGTCCCCTCTCAGTCGCGGCTTATTCACGGACAGCCGCCCCACCCAAATATAGAGCAGTGATGTATGCGTAGTCACTAACCAAAAGTCCTCACCCCCTCAGTCGTATTATACGTCGAGGTATAATACATGCAGTTCGCTAAAACGTTGAAACTTTAATTCTCGGGACTACCTCATCATTGCTATTGCTATATCGATCCATCAGAAAATCAATTTGCGATGTACAAAGAGAGTAAACAAGGGTTTGGTTTGGTTCAGTAGATTTGAAGATAATTAGAAATAATTTTCACTGCATTATTACATACAATTTGATCAAGAAATATCATTTCTCGAAATTACTATTTTTTCAAGTATCTAATGAAATATAAAAAAAGATAAGATTAATAAATTAACAAATCTTTTGACAAATTTTGAAACATTCCTGGTGGTGATTCAAGCTTCAAGATTCAGCTTTTCAGAATTTTTTCGCTACATGAAAAGAATTTCAAGGAAACCAATGATTGCTGAAAATAAGGAAAAAACACACTCCTATCTTTATTCCATCGTTTTTTTCAACGGTCTTCGTTTTTTATATAGAATGAATTTCGACGGAATAATATCTGCAATTTGCATCCATTTTTGTAATTTTATTTGATTCATACTCAGTTGTAATATTCTATTGGTCATTGGAGAAGCCTTAAAAACGATTGTTTATTCTGTGCGAGAATCTGCTATTTTCAATTCACAAATAATTGATTCATTCGGCTCGACCTCGCGGTTAAAGCATTCAAAATACACTATAACTTGTCATGTGAAAAAATATGGCCCCTTTGGAGGCGGAGAGCATTGCTCTGGATTTATGCGAATATCTTGATTAGACACGGAGATTGAGGATTTTATATTTTTGACGTAGTTGCGCTGTAGGGCTGTGCGCATTGCAAGTGCGCGACAAAGCAAGATAGAAGAATCGCTCTGTCTCGGTTGTTAATATGTATATATCTACTGTACAAATCCAACGCGATTCTCTTTCTCGTGAGAAGGGGTGACGTTTTTCATGGTCAATTTTTATGGTGCGCTATTAGAAAATTACTCTTGAAATTTCAGGTGAAAAATCTTGAAATTTTTAACAACCAATAATTTACATGGAATTTTCATTGAACTTGTTATTGATAAATCAGTCAATGTTTTTGAATATTCAATGAAATTTTATTTCTCAGGGCCATACGACAATGAGAATTATTGAAAGTCATGAAAATTCAGGCAATTTTTCTCCTGAATTTTCAATCTGTTGCTTAATTTTCGCGATAGGTTTGAAAATCCAAATTGTCATTGAAAATTCAATGATCATTCATAATGAAAAACTTAATTTTATTGGATTGCCAACATGAATCAGGAATCCCATGAGCAATTTAGTATGAAATTAAATTCAAGTTCAGAATATTGAAAAGTCAAATGCATCTGTTACTTAAATTTCAAAAAATTTCTAACAGTGTGAGTCAAAACAAATTAATTTTTTGCTACCATCAGTGGCCAACGATGTCCGGAATATATATACGCCTCCGAAATTGTCACACTGACCATCTATAATGTTGTCCATTTCCAGGGATGATAATGCTGGAATAAATAATGGAATGTTGGAGCTTGAGCAGTACGAATTTATTGCGAAAGGGCGATGTTTCGGTTAAAGTTCAGAATGAAGCGAAAATTTTTAGCGAGACGTCGCGATTTGACAATAACTTAGTATTGTTTAAACCCTTCCAACATCCCATTATTTATTTTACTTATCACACTTACCCATGGTCGATTTACTGAGCCCTATAACCACTCCCTAATATTTGTTATTGCTTCTTTATTCATTTTCTCGCACAAACCCATTTGTTGTCATATAAAAGCCTTCAGTCGTGTCACAGACAGACAGTGAAATACCGGCGGATCTCGCCAGTCGTGCACGATCCGTCGAGCCGTAAACATCAAAGCGTTATCATATACGAAAAAATTTTATCGTCATGTGCGCGTGCGCCTCGCTCTTACCAACTCGCTCAACACCCTGAAAATTCCTTTCTTTCATCTGCCACAAGCCTAAAACTAAAACTACTTATTACATGTAAATATTGTTCGATGATATTGTAATGAGCATAAATTCGAGTGTTTTTTCCTTAGTAATCTCGTAAATACTTCGTTCAATCAATTGATTAATTGGAGGGTCCGAATTATTTCGAGACATAACAATTTATATTTCCTTATTCAGATAGAAATGCCTTTTTGGTTTTTATGATTATTATTATGGGATTATTCTCTTTCTTTCAATGCTTTCTTTGCAATTGGAATTGACACGTTCTTAATGACGAGTGAAAATAACTTGGATTGTGATTTAAAAGGTGATACACTTGTTTATTTACTCATCTATGTATCTTTTTTTTAATGGTTAGAGTTTAAACGTTGAAATGTACGACAACACGGCTATGGATGCCTGGATTTACGATGTGGTAGGTGCAACAAGAAACAAAAATGTCTTTCCAATTGGTGGTTTATTAGTTATTACGGTTTATTGTATCGAGAATTATTGGTAATTCGATACACAATTACGTCTGTAGTGAAATAGTCATTGCGGGTGTGGTGAAGCAATTGAAAAATGTGATGTCTTAAATTGTTTTGCGAATTTCTCGTAAACGAGTCGCTTCAGTGGAGAATATCATGAGACATTTTCTCGTGAACAATGTTATGCACTACAAAAAAGATAGGTTGATAATTTTTGAGTATTTGCCCGATTGATATTTTGGGAATCTCAGGCATCTGTTGTGAGAAATAAAATTCTTGAAATAAATATTTCTTGACATTTCTCTTTAAATCTGCCAATTCCAGAGGTATTTGCACAAGAATCTCGAAATCAGTTCAAGATACATTTTCTTTTACTGTTTTCACTACTACGAATGAATCACTCATTAACTTGAATTATCATCCTCATTAATTCATTTATCTCCGGGATCGTTATTTATTCCGAAATGATATAGTCAATAGTCAACTATTAATGTTGCTATCAAGATAAAGAAAGTTTTTATTTTGAAAATGAGAAAGGAACTCCATTCGGTGAGTTGGGTATCGAAACTTGCGGGAGGGAGCAGTCAAGTTTAAGGCCACGAGACGTCGGTGACGTCACTAGAGACTGCCGGGCCAGCCTTAACCTTGGGCAATATGTAACCAGACAGAATCTCCCAACGCTTTTCACTCCATCGCATGGGGTAAACACAAGCATTCTGTAAACTCGGTAGCATATGATACTTACATTGCATCAGTATTACAATAGCATCAGTATCAATGGTACAGTAGAGGAAAACGTAACACAAAAAATAGTCCACGTACGCGGAGAAAATTATTTGGTGAATTTCAACAATTAGTTGGTGAAATTTAACAACTAATTAATCAAAATTCGGAAAAGATTTTTCAACTTCATTCAATAAATTTTTCCTACCAAACTAGATGGTGAGGGCATATATACATTTGGAAACAATCCCGTAATCATTTATATTGTGACAATCGATCAATGTCTCCCGTAGACAATATTTTTTTGCAAATTTGATCCACTAAATAAATCCATGAACGTTTATTGAAAATTTAACAAATGGTTGTCGAATGAATTTGAAATTTTTTTTTCTGATTTTTAACTAAATAGTTGTTAAATTTCAACAACTAGTTGGTGAAATTGGCTAAATAATTTTCTCCGTGTAACAGACCAAATTGACGGTGCACATTGTGTTGAATATCTAATCATCTCAAAAACGAGTGATTCTGGGGGAAGATATATTTATGTTGGAAACTTAATTTTTCCTGCAAAAAAGGTTTCCTGACTTCCTATTTGAAAATCACGTGGTGTTTCAGTTACTACTTCAGTACCGAAGAAAGATTTCTCGACAAAAAAAATTAATTTCCTTATGCATGTTTTATTTATTTGGTGACTGAGGAGATGAAATCGTTGGAAGAAGAGGTACTAGGCTGTCTTCATCACCGGCTGTGTGTGAAAAAGAGGGATAATAATCTAGTAATTTAGCCAATGCATGAACATTTCCGAGTCGACCTCGACACTGACTGCACTCATTGGATAAAAAGAATATGGCGAGTTTGATTTGTTGATTCATGTTCTTTTTCCTTATTTGAGAGATTTTTTTTTGATGATCATTTTTCAATGATTTAACAAATTCGATCATCCAATTATGAAGTCATTCCATAAACCGAATTCGACACTTTGGTTAATCATACATTTATCTGGGTAACGAGTGGGTTTGGAGGAACATAGAAAATAATTTTTTCATAACTGAATAAGTTTCCTACACATTATTGCTTCCGAATGGAAGCTTTGTATTTCTTCAAATCGAAATTTCCCATATTTTCTGTCAGATCAACTAAATATGGTCTAAAAAAGACGAATCGGCCATTTTTAGATCATGACCGTATGTATGTATTTGTGTGAGCTTTTAAAAAAAAAAAGTTTACTCAAAAAATAATCGATTCAATCGTGGCTTGAAATATTCATTCCAACCGTGTCTTGATCGAGTTCAAAAATGGTGATGATCGCATAATCTGTTGTTGAGTTATGGCTAAAATATTTTTTTTTACTTTTTGACCCTTATTTTGACCCTTATTTTTGACCCTTATTATTGATCCGTCTTTTGACCCTTAGATCCATCTTCATTGAAAAATTAATCATCTTCATTTTCGATTTCCAATTTAATCGCTCTAACACCACCATCTCCAAAAGTTAACGCATCATATATAGAGAAATCTGAGAACGATCATGTACGTGCCATATGAAAGGATGTATATGACGTACTTCTTCGTGATCATCTTCATTGTCATCATTCGATTCATTTGCAACAAATCAATTTAAACGACACATGGGAATAGCATTCTCTATGTGCATCACCTAAAAATGGGACAGATCACTTTAAATTCTAAATTGACTTTTAATAATTTGTGAATTACTTTTTTTTGATGGACAAATGATTCGATATATTGATCACATTCCTCGTTATATAGAATGATAATATAATATTGATTGAAAGAGGCCCGAAATAGTATATTGTGCCCCTAGGGAGTAAAAGTATTTTCTGACGAATGTGACGTTATAACCCGAGCCGAAGGGTTATAATTACATTCGTCAGAAAATACTTTTACTGCCGTGTGGCATACGATATTTTATGCCTCGAGGACTGAAAACTGCGATTTAACCAAGCGAAGCGAGGTTAGAATCGCGGTTTTCCGTCCCTAGAGGCATCAAAGAAATTCGTAGCCAGGTCTGCCATGAACAAATTGATGACCGTGAAGTGTATGAACATAACCAGTAAACCTGGACGAAAAATTGCGGAATTCAGCAGAAGAAAGAATAAATTATATAATTAGTCAAAATTTAAACTATTTACTTACGATCGAGAACACATCATTGTCGATGTATCGGGCACATGTTCTCTTGTAATGTCAAATTTAATATTATTATTCATTTTATTTTTAATGAAAAACTCGAGAAAACGAATTCAATTCACAATTTGAAATAAAATTCCATAAAATTTCATCCAAATAATTAGGTTAATTTCTCTATACGGGGAATGCCAGTCCTTTGAAATTGCTGACAAATGAAAGAACTAAATGTGCACTTTCATACTTCGAATAATGTTTAAAAAAAATACTTCAAAAGATAAAATTCAAACTATGAAACGAAAATATCCAATATTAAGAGAATAATTAAATTTGAAAGAGGAACTGAGAACTTAGGACATTAACTGTTACGATACACCAACATACAACTTGAAAGAAAATACATGTATGGAAAAACCCATAGAATCCTATCAGATCGTCCTATAGTCTTTTACGGAAACAATGGACGCATTTATGAAAAATTCGGACGAATTCTAGAGGAAATGACTTTTATAGGGAAACTTTTCGTTATAGAAACAATTTTCCGAATTTTATACAGAAAATCTAAGTTTCTATTCAATAAAAAAATAGGCATTATATACATTTCCAAAACTAGTATGAAAAAACTTTTGCGAATTGTAATGAATTTATGTAAACTTATGGCCCATCAGTGACTCTCAAGTATATTCAATATTTTGGGTTTAAATTTGATAGTACATAATTTTTTGTTTGGAGGATGCACTTAAATTTGCAATTAATATTTATAAAACAATGTTGTATTTTGTGTGCTCAAAAAAATTTTTTTTTTTAATTTCGCTGAATTTTAAAAAAAGCACTTCGAAATTTGCATGAGAAAAAAAAAGAGAGAATGCAATTCTAAAATTACATATTGTGAAAGCATGCCCACCACCGCCGTGCGCTAGCCCCGTAGGGCTAACCCTGTAAATTAGTATACTTCCTATCCGGACTATTGGGATAGAGCTGTTACTCGTGTGGCTCAAGCTAAATTCGGAATATTTTTTTGTCGTGATTTCACGTTCTTGAGTGTGGGAAGGAGGTGCGCTTAAGAAAATCAAAACTTGGTCTCGAATAAGTTTTGTTCGAACCGAAAAAATCGCGTGGAATATTACCACGACAGAGATCACTTCATTTGAACACATGAAAGTTGCAAACATGAATAAATTCTGCTGTTACCAATGAAATATTTAACTCATGAGGCGAATCATTCAAGCGAGCTGGTGCCTTTTCAGGAAGAAAATATCTCTCTCATAGAGTGAAGTTGATCTAGAAGTATTTTGTTTCTAAGTTACTGAATTGTTATCATTGCTATTATTTTTATATTCAAATATTAATTTCTTATCTTTGAATTTTCAGTAGCGGAAACAAAAAACTGATCTCTCTTATTTCCCATAAAACGAAAATTTTTCGGGAACAAAATATTGATAATAGAATAACACATAGGTAGTCCTAGAAATGAGAATTTCTGCTTGGAAAGTAAATTACAATTTTTCGGAATATCTAAACCTATTTTAATAACAAAAAGTATTCAAATTAAGGCACTATTCAAATGTTCAAAATGAGATTTTTCATCCTTTGTAATTCTCAACTTCCCATTTTGCCGGTTCAAACAAAACTTGAATGAGAACATGTTTTTTTTTCTCACTGTACAGATAACATTTTTCCTAAAATCATTCGTTAGCGAGACAAGACGGCGATTACAAGGAATATTGAAGTGACTCTCGAATATAATCGTTAATAATTTAATCAATCAGAAAATTTCCAAGAAGGCCTTTCTGGAGAGAATTTGATGACCTAGTCTCAATAGTTTCTCTGGAATTCATTCATCGAGATTATGGGATATTTAATAAATTAAATTCAATTGTTGAATTACCTAATTATTGAATTATTATAAAACTAGCGAAGATTAATTTGTACTATTTTATTTTATTTTATTTTCTTTCCATTTTCGTCT